CTGCTTTAATAATGATGTCTTAATGAATTATACTGTCATGTGTAAATAAAAAGAACCAATAAATTTTTTAAAAAGCTTTACCAATTATAGTTATTGCTATACAAAGAAGTAAATAATTTATGATTTCTCTTATATGAAAAATAAAAAATAAGCAAATTCATAGAGATAGGGAGCAGATCAGAGGTTACTAGCAATAGAAAAAATGGGGAAAACTATTAAATAGTTACAGTGCTTCGATTTAGAGTGAGAAAAAAGTTTTTCAACTACATAATGGCTATGATTGCTTAATTGTGTAAATGCAATTTATGCCAGTAAATATGTACACTATAAAACTGAAAGTGAAGAGGGAACAACTTCAAAGTATGTAATATATGGGATTAGGAGAAAATGCTTTTAGACTCCATCCTGAGAAACACATCTTGAGAAAAAATAGAAATAATACCAAACAAACTTGGCCCGCCACAGAAAGAATAAAATCCTGGCATTTGTGACAGTTTGGATAGAACTAGAGACCATGCATTAATTGAAATAAGCCAAGAAGAGAATGGCAAGTACCATACGTATGTAGAGTCTAAAAAAAGTTGTTTTAGTTTATGTTGAGAGAAGAATGGTGTTTACTTCAACGCGGAGAGAAGGATCAGGAGACATGGATCAGTTTGGAGCAAGAAGTTCTGGCCTGCAGTTGCACAGGACATGATTATAAACACTAATAATGCACAACCTATTTCATATTTTATATAGAAGAAATATTTGAATGTTTTCACTGTAAAACATACACGCTGGAGGAGACAGACATGTTTAATCTGATATAAACATTACACAATGTATACATGTGTTGAAATCTCACACTAAACCATAAATATATAATTTTTTATGTGACAGATAAGAAATAGACTTCATTGAAATTAAAAAAAAACAGAAAAAAAAGACATTGTCTATATTTCATTACAAGGATGAGGTGTATAGCTGAGTCCTTACATGAAATGTTAGCAGAAAAATGAACAGGCAAGAACATCCAGAAAAGGAGAACAGTAGATTGCTATAATTTTTTTTAAAGTTGTATTAAATAATAAGAGATGCATGCCAAGTATTAGGCATCCTTCACAAACGATAAATTGAGACAGTGCTATGATTTCCTCCTTCCTTTTTTTTTTTTTTTTTAACAACTCAGAGCAGCCCATTCTATTTTTCTTCTCTGCAAAGGGGTGAGCATTAGATCCTTGCTTTCCAGGTAATGAGCTTTCTCCTTAGCTACTTCAATAGCAAATGGCAGCTGATCTGATCTAAGTTTCTTGATGTTCATTAAGGGGGATGTGATCTTGATTGATAGCAGTATTTTGAGACCTTAAACAAAGTAGTTTTTTTTTCTTAGAAATGGTCCCTTTCACCTTGGTCTAATTAGCCCAGTGAGGATTTTCAGATTCACAGAGACTGCAATAAATTTTTACAGGTTAAATATCTCCCAGGTGAAGCTGTTGGAACTCAAACAGGAGTCATACACTGTTGTTTTCATTTTCCCCAGAGACTATGACAAATGAACTATTTGAAGAGGTTGAAAAGGAGCAAAAAAGAGCTACACATGGGAAAGGTGAAGACACCACTTCTTCCCTTGTTGAATGTTAAGATAAAACTGGAACTGGACTCAAAACAGCTTTAGAAACAAACTGAACCACTTTTCCTTAGAAAACAGGTGAGTCCTGTCTTCAGGATTCCTGAGAATTACTTGAATAGTGAGGTTTATTAATATTTGTTCCTTGAATGTATTACTTGTTTCTGAAATTGTTATAATTGTGGAACATTACACGTATCTGAGATTTTAAAAAATACTTGGTGACACAGGGTACATTTTACTTAATAATCCACACCTGATCATTTTCTGTAGACAAGTAAGAATTAAAGTTTTAGAATTTAATATTAAAGTAAAAATTTAATGATACTTTTGATGAGTATTTTTTGAAAACCTTTAGGTACCATTTATGTGAAGGAATTTTTCATATTTGGCCTCTTTGCTGTATCATTAGGATTAGAAGACTTCATCATCATTAATAGAGAAGGAAACAACCTGAGGCTCTAGCTGTAAATTTATTCTGATGTGTTTGGAATGAAGGTAACAACTGTCATGCCAGCTCCTGGACCCCTCCTTACACATGGTCAGGCTTCTTAAAGATCTACTTAAAAAAAAAAACAGTCCTAATGCATTTTTTCTTAACAAATTACTGTTACACATAATTGTGGGGCTCATTTTGATACAGTCACTCATGCATGGAATATAGTTTTTTACATTTCAGTCCCCAGTACCTCCTCCCTGCCCCCCTTCTTTCTTCCCATTCCTCTCCTCCTCTTTCCTTCATCTCTTTATTATTTTTATAAATGGTTACTTCACAGGACTACATAAAGGTGGGATTCTCACCTGCACAGAGCATAGTTTGGTCCACCTCATTCCAGTGCTCCTCCTCTTCACTGTCCCTCTCCCTCCCCATCAACCCTGCTTTCCATTCCTCGGATCCCCCCTTACACTTCCATGTTGTCTCTCATCTTTTCTCCCCCTTACTTGGCTCTCACATCTGCATCTGAGAGAAAACTGTCAACCCTGAAATCTCTGAGTCTGAGTTACATCATTAGCATGATGCTCCCCAGTTTCACCTACTTAGTGGCAATGCCATAATTTTATTCTTCTTTATAACTGAGTAAACTCCTTTGTGTAGCTATACAGCATATTGTTTATTAAAAATCTACTTTAACACTTAACATTTATTTATTGTTTATTTGAAGTACACAAAAGGGATAGAGCATAACTAAAATCACTGAGTTATGAAGTAATACAGTCAGATGAGATCAAGATTATATGATTACCCAAAATAGTCCACTATTTTAAAGGATATCTCATTTTAACAGGACATTATGTGTTTTAAAAATATGAAAATGTAAAATTATTCTCATAGAATACAATAGTCTCTTAGCTTTCTATAGAATAACTGAAAATAGAGAATAGAATACTTCAAGTAATCCCTGAGCACAGATTAAAGATTTGGACTCAATCAACATGTGGAGTTTGTGTATGATTGATAAGTAAATTAAATGATAGCTACTTTTAATATCCTCTGCTTTCTTAATGAGATTAAAATATTTATGTGATTATCACTTATAAATAATTTTGTGTTTTGTCTGAAATATCAGAAACATAATTTGCATCATAAAAATGTTCTTAGTTATTTTGTGGGGTAACTTTTAACTTTTCTATTTATTTTAAATAGAAAATATTTAAATGGAAAATAAATAGAAAAGTTAAAAGTTACCCCACAAAATAACTAAGAGCATAATGGCATTACTCTTGTGTTTTAAAGCACATTTTTGTCTGTTACTTGATAAAAAAATCTCAGAGAAGTACAGCAATTAGGTCAGGAAGAATATTAGCCTACAGGTCAGGGCAAAGATCTGAGGAAAAAGTGAATTGGTAAAATTCATTCAGCAAATCACATTTGAAAAAAAAAAGACCACACTGAAATTAAAAATGTAACTTAGTCATTTTTACTAAATCAGAAGGTTGTAACTTAGGGGAGAAGTTAGAGCATGACTAAATTATTTTAAATTATTGGCATTCATTGTAAAAGCCTAAAGTGCAATAGTTAATTGATTGAAATGTCTTATTTGAACACTATAAAAGCTCCCTCTTGACTATGCTGGATAACGCAGGCCAAAAGGTAGTTTTGTCACAATTAACATTGACTTTCATACACTGGAGGAATTCTATTTCTATCTTTTTGTACACAAATTTGAATGATAACTTTACTGAAGGAGAAAAGAATTGTAGTACTGAAAGTGAAATTTAATATATATTAGTGATCATAATTTCAGTGTTTTATGTAGCTGAAAGAGAGTATTGCTGGTGTGATGGAGCGATTGATCAAAGATTGTTTTTCAATTGCTCTTCCTCAGCCCATTGGTCACATCTGAAATTCTACCAAGAGTAGCTACGGATTTGTCCAAAGGTATTTTGTAACCATAGAGAAATTAGTAAACTCGGTACTGTAATACTTAGTAACAGTGACAAGGAGGAGGTAAAAATAACGGAAAGAACATGAGAAAAGCCAGCCCAAGAGACCAAAACTAGTCATGTAGGGAGTGAACTGAGCATCCATGATCAGGATGGTTGACTAGAAAAAGCTGAAAAATTTATAGACATAAAGAAAAGAAGTAAATTTGTATAAGAGTGGGGTGTGAGACATCAGGTAAGACTCTAGAATCCAAACTGAACCTGCTATTATTGTTCTCAAATACCTAGCTGAATGCCAAATATACAATTATTTTGAAAATGCTTTAAAAATGAAAATAATTTTCCTTTCTAATTGTGGCTTTAGTTGGATGTAAAGCATAGTTCTTTATTGATACATTAAGTGTATATGTAAGTTAAACACATTTGTAAATTAAGCAAAAGAGAAGCCATGCACACATTCCTCATAATATCAAATATCCCAAATCGTTGATTTTTTATGTGTAATACTTTCTCATAGGATATACAGCAGGGAGTTTCTCACTTAAAACATTATGTATATATTAGACTTCATATATTTGCTTTTCTATAGTATTTTAACTCAATGTTTTATTTTGTAGATGGTTTCTCAATAGCAAACACAAAAGTGATTCTATGATGTGATATTTTTCCCACTAAAAGTGTCAATTCAACAGTCCTATTGGACTATAATATCATAAAGTTTCATAACACATGCTCTTATAAGTATCATTCTCCATTATTCTAAAATGTTAGTATTTATCCCAGCTACATAAGACATTTAGTAACAATATTTTCAATAAACTGACAAAGAAACAATACAGGAAAATCTTCATAAATAAAAATAAAATTTCCATTTTCTTCAACCTTTAAATCATTTCCAGCATACTCTACTACAAATCAGAGGATGATATGATATATCAACAATTTCAATGTATTCAACAAGTCATCATTCATCTATTTACAGGTGACTACAACCTGCATCTGGATCATGGAATACAGAAATAATGTCACAGAATTTATTCTTTTAGGATTTTCTCAGAAAAGAGAATTAGAGTTTCTCTGTTTTTTACTGTTTTTACTTTGTTACATTGCAATTTTGACTGGAAACCTGCTAATCATGATCTCCATCACCTGGAGTCCACTTATCAACCAGCCCATGTATTTCTTCCTGAGCTACCTGTCACTCTCAGATCTTTGCTACACCTCCACTGTTACCCCCAAGCTAATCGTGGACTCACTATCCACCAAGAAGTCCATTTCCTACACTGGCTGCATGACACAGCTCTTTACCATGCACTTCTTTGGGGGCATCGAGATCTTCATTCTCACAGGGATGGCCTATGACCGCTATGTGGCCATCTGCAAGCCCCTGCACTACACTGTCATCATGAGCAGACAGAAGTGTGATATCATTATTGCTGCCTCCTGTGTTGGGGGATTCCTTCACTCCTTTGGTCAGTTTCTCCTGGCCGTCTTCTTACCCTACTGTGGTCCCAATGAAATAGATCACTACTTCTGTGATATGTATCCTTTGCTGAAACTGGCCTGCACTGACACAAGCAAAATTGGTTTCTTGGTCATCGCCAATTCTGGACTGATGGGCACTGTGATTTTTGTGGTCCTGCTGATATCTTATGCTGTGATCTTATGTACTGTCAGGTCTTACTCTGCAGAGAATCGCCGCAAAGCCCTCTCTACTTGCAGTTCACATATCACTGTGGTCGTCCTGTTTTTTGCCCCTTTACTGTTTATTTATATTCGACCAGCAACTACTTTACCTGAAGACAAAGTATTTGCCCTCTTTTATACTATCATTGCCCCCATGCTCAATCCTCTGATATACACACTAAGAAACACGGAGATGAAGAATGCCATAAAAAAATTGTGGGGCCATATCATGGGAAGCAAAGAAAATAGACTGAAAGGCTTCCCTGCATTTCACCACACAGCTTCTTGAAAATGTTATTGCTACCTTGAAACCTTCAAAATGCATCAGGCTTGTTTAATCATCTTCTTCCTAGCAAGCATATATGTAGGATAATATTGGAGAAGTTATTTATTGTTTTCTGGTTGTATGCATGACTTGTCTCTGCTGTATCTTTTTTCGAGGTTTTCTGTACATATTGCCTCTATTCTATTTGATCTGTTGTCTCTGTGATTAATTTTCGTATTTGGCAATAGACAAGACAGTGTGCAACCCAAATTAATACTAAGAGTCCTTACAACCAGTATTGTGGATGATTGTATTCAATGAAGCCAGTTCTAGCCTCCAGAAGTAATTAAAAAGGAACCAGAATTTGTAGTTATACTCTCTTATACTCTAAGAATATTCTCAAAGGTGTGGGACACAATATTTCCCCAAACATTTATGTTTTACTCTGATGATAACCAGCAGCATTCTTGAGATTCTTATGTTCCCAAGACCAAAGCTTTTTTCAAAGCCCCCAAGGAAACCTCTTGTTTTGCTCTAAGTCACTTCCTCTCCTCTTTCATATATAACTCAATTGCACCTTTCTGCTAATTCTAGCACGATGCAGTGTAGTGGTTGAGGGCACAGATTCTGGTTACAGATCTGATTTCTAACCATGTAGATGGTTGGCAACATGATATTTTAAAACAGAGAGGTATAATCATGGCACACCTTGCTTGATACACATATGTTATTTTATTGCCTCATGCTGTGCTTTGATCAGAAAAGGTACCATTAAATGATGACTTTCCTGAGCAGAAACTAGAGCACCTGCATTATTAAAATAAATAAATAAATAAATAAAGCAAGGAGCACTCACATATTTTTACTAGGTTTCTGTTAGTGGTGAAATGAGCATTTTTCTCTTGGAGTGGCAAGCAGAAAATATCATCTGAACTGGATAGTTGCTGTGTTCTGTTTTGATTTTTTGCACGGTAAAAGTAAAATATTTTGCTCAGGACAATTAAATGTCACTGGAAGAAATTCATGTAATATAAGACATGCCTCAGAGAAAAATTGGTTAGGATTGTGGAGGAACTCAAAGTTCTTACAAAACTCGTGATATTTAATGAATGGCAAATAATTTATTTTCAGGTGAATACAGAAGGAACACTCAATAAAATGGGAATGTTGGGAGTTGCTAAGATGCATGGAGCATATAAAAGCAAAATAGCATAATATCCTGAGACTCCTAAGTGGTCTCTAAGCAGCACATAAGCAAAGGGCAGCATCACAGCCCAGATGGGAAGACCTCATTCTAGTGGATAATAAGCATTTTGCCTCTTTAAGAAGTTGTACCTATATTATTAAAAATAAAATTTCAAAATGAAAACAGAAATTTCTATCTTCTTCTTATTATTAGAATAAACATATTAAAGAGGGATTGTTAAAACATATGGAGCAAAAGTGGGAAGACAATAACAGCAATTTCTATCTTTAAGTGGTGTATTGGTACCCTGGAGCTCATCCTTTTCACCTCACAGGGGCATCTCCTCATTAGTTTCCCTGTCTTTGCTGGATCATTGATATAACGCCTAAAAGCTTCAGGAATAAACTTAGTCTTTGCAGTTTGGGAAATGTCTTGAGTAGTTCTTCCACTGAGGTTAGTCATACCTCACTGCCCTTGTGGAAAGTAAAAGTTATAATTCTGCAGACACAGACATTAATTTAGAGAAAATAATAGCAGTGGCAATAAAGTATGTCCATAAACATGCAGATTATTTCTTGGGGTGGGGGGGTGTGGAGGAGAGGATGTCTATTGATTGTTCCTTTCTTTGTGTTTACCAATTATGTCCATTTTTTAGTCATTCTCAATTTCATTTTAGTAATTTCTTATCAGACTAAAAATCTGTCATACTTTTTGTTCTCTTTGAACTAACCATAGTATCTTGATTTCAACCTTAAATTTTGATTTAATTAAAATCTTCCATATATTTTATTTGTATCAGAACCATAACTTTGTCCTCTTTTTAGATTTACTCTCTGAATAAACTCTCTGAAACAAAACATCTTTTGTTCTTATGTCCCCTCCCCTCCTTCCTCACTTCTGATTTCTCCTCTTCTGTACTCACTGCATCTGATTTTTGTCATCCTGATTGTATTTTAAGGGGAAATCTTTCCCTCCACCATTACCTGTCCTAGGTGACTGAAGCTGCTCTTATGAAGGTAGTCAGCATCTTCCATCTTGATGAATTCAGGCTTTGACAAAAATTATCCCTCCTTTTTCCCTAAAGACATTTACATTTTCACTTGGCTTTGGAGTCACATCATACTCTTCTAATTTTCATGCTAAATATCCAAAAACCTTCTCTCAATTTCTTTTCTGGTTTGTTGACCACTTCATCATATTATCTATAATGGAATGTTGCAGAGCACTGTTTTCTTTAAATTTAGGTTATTGATCACATGCACTCCCATGGTTTAAAGTGTTCCCAATGTAAGAGAACTCCAGAATTTCTCCAACTCAAGTACATTCGATGTGGCAGGTTCTTTGTGATTGTCAGGGTTTAAACTTTTCAAGTCCAAAGATACGTTTATGATAATCCAACTGTGTGACTTTAGACAAAATCTATATAATGTTCCATGTATATGTGTGTGCATGTGTATGTGTCTGTGTTGTTATACATATAATCATATACAATTGCTATAAGTATCATCATATATATTGATTAAATAATTGCTGTCCTCATTAGGATTTCAGAGAATTCATGTGTGTTGTCCAGAAAAGTTAATCAGTTTGGCCAATAGAAATTATATCTAGGCCTCTGACTTTGACATTAATATTTTCAAAACTTTTGCCACATTACCTGTGCACTTTTGACACAATGTTTGAATTAAGAGTTAAAGAAGGGTAGAGGCATTGATCCATCTGGGAGACTAAAAGAACTGGTTTAAAACATTACTCCTGCCAGGTGCTATTGTGCACACCTGTAAATCCAGCTACCTGGTAGGCTGAGTCAGGAGGACAGCAAGTTTGACATCAGCCTCAGCAACTTAGCAGGACCCTCAGCAACTTAGCAAGATACACAGGAACTTGGTGAAACCTTGACTCAAAATTAAAAATGAAAAGTACTGGGGATATACCTCAGTGGTAAAGTGCCTCTGGTTTCAATCCAACAAATACAAATAATTATAAATAGTAAAATAAAAATAATAGTAAATGATGATAATAAATATAACTAAGATATTAATAAAAATAAAGACTTATTTCTGACAATTAGCAGGGAAATCTGATGAAATTTATACATTTTTCTAAACTTCAGGTTTTCATTTATAATTTTTAAAATATTTTTCTAATGAGTTATGCATGACAATAGTATGTATTTTGATACATCATACTTAGTTATCCCAGTCCTCAGTTTATACCCAAAGGAAGATTTAGAAGGTCTATAAAGATTATTACTCTCTGTATGCATGAGTTAACTTTAAAACAACTATTATTGGCAGAAAGACATGGTGAATAGTGGTATGAATTTTCAGTTGAATTATAAGACACATTATTTTTCATTTATTTTTTGTTCTTTCTAGATGTATATGACAATAGAATATATTTTGACATGATATACATACTCAGAATAAAGTATAATTTGTTCCCCAATATTGTGGTTGTAGGTGGTGTGCAGTTATATTGGTGGCATATTCTTATACAAGGATAGGAAAATTATGTCAATTAATTTCACTCTTTCCTCTTCCCCCTCTCTTTCTTGTGTTCCCCTTTGTCTAATTCAGTAAACTACTATTCTTTCTCCCCTTTGTTGTAGGTTAAAATCCACGTATTAGATTCAATATTCTGCCTTTGGATTTTGGGGACTGGCTTATTCATTTAGCATGATTGACTCCAGATTCATCCATTTACCAGCAAATGCCATAATTTCATTCTTCTTTAAGGCCAAGTAATATTCTGTTGTGTATATACACCACATTATCTTTATTCCTTCATCTGTTGTAGGGCATATCTTGGCTATTGTGAATTGAGCTGCTATAAACATTGAATTGGATACATCACTCTTGTATGCTTATTTAAAGTCTTTTGGTCATAAACTGAGGAGTGTGATAACTGAGACAAAAAAAGAGGAAATAATAATGAATTCATTTTGGCTATAGTGGCAGACAAAGCAAAGAAATTTCATGGTAAGTAGAAAAGTATGATAGGATCAGAACATGTGAAAGGTGTAATTGAAAATTCTATAACATATAACAATTGTTGAAACACAATGAATATTAAATAGCTAATATGAAAATAAAAAAATTATAAGGCATAGAATTTGCTAACAGTTAATAAAAATGTGACAATTCCTTGCACTGAAATCAATGAATATTTAAATTTGAGGGTATAATAAAAGGCCTATGTCTCTAAGGTACAACTGTTCACCTATACTCTTCCCCACTCTGAGTATAAAAATTCCAATGGAAATTTTAATTTGTGAAGCTGTGCAGCACAACACAAAGACATAAAAAAGAAAAAAAAAGAAAGAGGGACATATCAACATAGATGGAGAGATAAAGGGGCTTTGCATAGCAGTAGTGGGTTCTCCCTGAGCCCATATTCTAGATACAAGTGCTGTATTTCTAAATGTCCATGATAATTTCATCAACATCATTCACTTCAAAGAAAATAGGTCATAGCACTTTGGGGTTCATGTCAGTTTCTACCTTTCTGCTCTTCAGTCTGAGAAAACATGTTGCATCTCTGTACTTCTGGTTTTTTATTTAGCTTTCACAATACCCACAGTTTTACTTCTATTTTGATAGATTTAGAGGGTTTTTACTACAAATGGTGAACACTAATTTTGTAAAACAAAACTTAATATCTCCAGGCTTTATGTAGTGGCTTTAAAAAAATCTAACAAATAATGTTTTGGTTAGTTTAACAAAGGTAAAAGAAATATGTAATTTAGAATAACTATATGCAGTTTAGAATATAAAAAGAGCCTCTTACTTGAAAATATAAAACTTTCCAAAGACAATCCAGTCATAAATGACATGGG